AACCCTGGTCTACGACATATGATTTTTAATAGAGAAGATGTATTAACAGTCCCTTACCTGGATTAGTTGTAATAATTGTTTTGGAGATTACAGTCGCTGTCATGCAGTTCCTAAATTTGTCAAAGTTTATTCTCACATCTGATGCAAATATGACTGGGCACAAAAACATGGTTCTTTGTTATTTCAGCATCCAGGTAAAGATAAAAACAGTAGCAGAAATATTTCACAAAAATGAAGGAAGAGCGTAGTACCTGTGTCTCGTGGCATCCAAGACTGTGCAAGCTGGATGGATTCATTATCCCAACTAAATTTTAAAAAAAAGTCTTTAATAGTGAGAGTATTGGGAAACATCAGTGCAAAACGTATGGTACAAATATATATTTTTAAGCCTTTGTTCCACTAAGAGACATATTAAACAAAATACCATTATGAAATGGCCAGAGGCACACCAATCTAGCCTTTAAGCATGTATGGACAATTCTGTGCATGCTATTATCTCCATGTGCAAATGACTTGGGGCTTATCTACATAAGGAGGTCTTAGTTCGCACTAAGCTGGAGCATATTAACTGTTGTGTATTGTATGATATGCTAGCTCTGTGCACAGGGACAGCTGGCTCTTGTATATGGAAACAATTATTTGTACTATAAAACAATTCCTAGGCATTAAATGCTCAGCGCTGTAGTTACATATGCCATGCTCCTTTGTCCCAAAACTGGGCCCATGCTTTAAGAGACAGATATCAAAGCCATCCAGAGCAACTGCAATTTTGGGACCTGAAGCCAAACTCAGAGCCTCACAATTACTCTCCCTCCATCCCATGAGCCATCTCTTTTTGTTTACTCGCTGGCACCGTTTTCAAACCATCATTAGCCAGCACAGACAAAAAAGTGCTCTGTACTATAATGTTGGTCACTGCAAATACACAGTTGAGATTTATTTGACATCTCACTGCCAGATGGTTTCAGCTATGCAAGCCAGGCACTGCCCTACTGCAAAGCGTTTTCAACAGTTTTGGCAGCAGCACCAACAGCTAGCCCACCTACAGCTATACTAGGACAACGAGAAGATGATGACCAGATGGATCTTGGATCAACTTCACGGAAGTAAAACACTGTTGCTAGACTTGCAAAACAAGTCTTCACTGATGAGAGAAGACTCAACTACAGGACCTGGATACACATCAGTGGTTGCAGAATTTCAAGGTGACAAAAGAGCACCTTTCTGGAGATCTGCACAGCATTCGCCATAGCTCTGCTGCATAGATAACTGGAGCATGGCAGGAAAAGCAAAGCCAGCCAAAGAAGCATTTTGCAGACTCAGTGAAGTCCCAATTTGTTCATAGCAGGGTATCAACCGACTGCTGAAAATTGCTGGCTGCAGACAGACAATGGCATGCAATAGTCAAAGAGCATGTCGACTTCTTTGAGTAGTGGCACAGTGCCAGAAAAGTGCATGGTTTTTGCAAGAAAAGCACATTAGGGCTTATGGCATGACAGTGGTAAAAGTCACAGACCAGGCATCAACCACAGAATTGTGGGTTGGCTACAAGGAACACAGCTGAAGCTTTTATTGCAAATTGGCCAAAGTCATATGTTCACTTCTAGGAATTGTTTGACTGATGACTCCTTGGGTTGAAATGGCTGGCTTGATTAGTCTTAGATGATTTGGGCAGGGATTGAAGATGAATGTTCGTGTGGGCATATCTGTACTACATGCTGTTTTGTTGGGCCTCTCTTTACCAAGGTTAGCTGGCACCCAGCACCCAAGGACTAACTGTTCTATTTTCCTGTGTGCCCCTCTACAGCTTTGCAGTTATGTTGGCCAGATGACTGTTGCCTGTTTGAATGCCAAGGTTGGTCCTTGTGCAGTTGCAGACTTGGGAAATTGGCATCAACATACTGTAGCTGGCACAACCACACACTATGAACCCTATCCCATGCACCTGAATGGAGTCATGCAGAGTTCCAGCTCAGGAAACTTTTGAACTGAAACATCACAAGGATATTTTGAGGCCACTGCTGATGCGGCAGTGGGAAAAGATCACAACTAGAATCTCATGAAATTTTGGAACAAAAGGATCAGAAATCCTCTCACAAGAAAAAACCCATCTTTTCAATAGACATGCTGACTGATGGGAGGAAAAACCTGCAGCATCCTTATAGGCTTGGCAGTGCTACGCTGGAAAGCACTACGGAAGAAAGAGACTTGGGGGTCATTATAGACCACAAGATGAACACGAGCCTGCAATGCGATGCTGCAGCTAGTAAAGCAACCAAAACGCTGGCTTGCATCCATAGATGCTTCTCAAGCAAATCCCAGGGCATCATTCTCTCCTTCTACTCGGCCTTGGTGAGGCCGCAGCTGGAGTACTGCATCCAGTTTTGGGCTCCACAATTCAAAAAGGATGTGGAGAAGCTTGAGAGAGTCCAGAGAAGAGCCATGCGCATGATCAGAGGTCAGGAAAACAGACCTTACAACGACAGGCTGAGAGCCATGGGGCTCTTTAGTCTGGAAAAGCGCAGACTCAGGGGTGATCTGGTGGCCACCTATAAGTTTATCAGGGGTGACCACCAGTATCTTGGGGAACATTTGTTCACCAGAGCGCCCAAGGGATGATGAGGTTGAATGGTTATAAACTCCTGCCAGACCGTTTCAGACTGGACATAAGGAAGAATGTCTTTACTGTTTGAGCCCCCAAGGTCTGGAACAGCCTGCCATCGGACGTGGTTCAAGCACCTACATTGAACACCTTCAAGAGTAAATTGGATGCTTATCTTGCTGGGATCCTATGACCCCAGCTGACTTCCTGCCCTTCGGGCAGGGGGCTGGACTCAATGATCTTCCAAGGTCCCTTCCAACCCTAATGTCTATGAAATCTATGATACAATTTCAGTGAAGCAAGGTAAAACAGAGTCACACTTAGGTGCCATAACTCCAATTATGCCCCTAATAGGCTGAGCTGAACCTGCCCCTAATTATATTTGGAAGCACAAATAGCTGTACACCCAAAAGGCTGTGCAAATAAAATTGTGGGCACTAAAAGACAGTTGGGAAATTTAGCTATGAAGTGATTACCACATATTATTTTAAGGGTTTGCTTTCACTTTTATTCCATTTTGCCCTAAGTCTCCTTTTCTCTATTAATTCTGGTTGTCTCTCTTCAAAAATTGTATATTCCCTTTTTTTAGATGTTTGGTTTTGAATGAAATGCACTGTATTTGCAACTGTTTTAGAATAGCATGTGCAGAATTACTGCATATGTAATAGTAAGTTAACCTGACATGCATTAAGAGATTTAACGGCAGCATAACTTACCTATGAACATGCTTATAGGGTTGTTTAAAAAAATACAGAAAGGGTAGGCCTATGGTTGATGTAATACATTCCTTTGCATAAAGAAAATGTCTAGTGGTCTGATTATAAACAATTTCTTTACTGACTCACATCACTGACAGCCTTTCCTAATTCATTTGGAGCTCAGCTTCATTCTTCCACTCTTGAAGTATAAATTTGTCAATAGCTCACAGGAATACATATTATAGCCAAGGTCACTTTATTGGATATCTTTTATATGTAATATTGTTTAATGGATATTGCTGCCATTTAATGGATATTGCCGCCTCATCAGCGGCCAACCAATTAATAACTTATTTCAATTAACTGAAAACAAAATTATAGCAATATGAACTATGTTCAATATATTCTTTCTTTGTCTATCCTTGCATTGATTTGTATATTTAATAATGAATTAGAGCACATTTACCATATCATTGGAAAGGACAGCTCTGTTTCATCATACAGTTTGACTTCACACCTCTGACCTTTTCTTTTGTCTGAAGTGATGAAGTACTTGGGCTCCCCAACCTTTGAAAGGTAAGAAAAACTGTTACTCTATTTAAGATACATAGAAAAATTAAAAAGGTTAAGTCAAAGGAACTTTAAAAAGTAACAAAGAAATGACAAAAAGTATAGACAATGTGATTGTGCCGTCTTTTACATTTCTAGGAAAAGGTTAATTAATCTTGTATATTTCAACAAAACCGAATCAATTTATGAGACTATCCACTAATATTCTGCTTTCTGTACAAAAATGCTCATTTCTGCACATCCTTAAGAAGCATGTAGCTGGGAGATGTCCATTCTCATCCATCTCCAGCAAGATTCTCACCTTCTTGAATCTTCAAAATTTTGTATATAGAGCAGCAGAGCTTTCAGGCTATGCCATGAGCTGGTGTGTGGCAACATGCATCTTGAATAAGTCCTACCATCCCAAAACTTAAATCACCTTAGATGCATTAACTAATATTTATCTTATAAATGTGGATTTGTATGCGTATGATACAAAAACTGAAGTAAGACATCAAGGTGTACTTTTGTACCAGAAAGAGCTTTGTATATATAAGATCTTGCTGTAAATTGCATCTTGCTTATGAACACCAAAAATATTTTTAATCGCTGTTACTCTTCCTTAGCCTTAACTCAACCTAAATTACTGCTGACTAAGGCAGAGGGGAAAAAAAAATCACTGCAGCCAGTCATGACCCTATAAATCTATATCTACAGTGAAATCAATTAAGTCATCAGGGCTAAAGCAGAAAAACATTCTTCATTTTGTTGTGACACTTTTAACTTACGAACTTTACTGCTGCAAGCACATTAATGATTCTTCCATCAAGGCTTTGTCCATTTGCAACAATGTCGCCCAGCGAATAAAAATCTTGAGGATCTTTCACAGGTAGATGTAACAAGGAAAGTAGCTGGGTGCCCACTTCATAAGGAGAACAAATTTTGACCACTGAATGATTCTCACTGAGCAGTAATTTGTAGCAGCTAAGTTGCACACACAAAAAAAGAAATGTACACATCACTAACATATGGTGTCCAGTGAAATATTACCTCAATTCATAGCGAACAATGCAGTCAATCTTTTTCTATATGATTTACAATGAGGATGATAAAAGGTTAGGAGATGAAGTTGCTTTATCTTTGTAACATGATATTAATTTTTCATCCTAATGAAAACTATCCGACTGCAATACACTTCATAGTTATTTACTATTGAGAAATCCATGTCAATTACTACAAATGTAAAACCCAAATCCATATTTCTTTCAGCACTTCATAAGTAATTTTTATTTGGTGATGTATGCTCTATATAATGAAACTTTTACAGAGTGCCGAGTCATATACTACTAATGTAGCTACTTATCAAATTAACATAGCGTATGTAAATAAAACTGTTGGGGGCCAGTATGGGTAAAACTACTAACACCACATACACAAAAGGGAATATTAGCCAGAATAAGCCGGTTGCAAATGCCTGTAAACCACAAAAAAGAAAAGGCTGTTGCTTTTCTAGCTCAAAACAAAAAACATTCCTCCACCCATATCTCCAACTGGAATTGCCCAGCTAAGATTTTTGTGTATTTGTTCAGCATCTGTAATAGAATCAGCTCTGAATTCATGTCTACAAGGCAGTCGAAAAGGATACTTGAGCTGGCTTTAAATTAGCTAGTTTGTGTATGTAAATTTGTGTATTTAAATTAGTTAGTCTGTATATCACGGCTCTAACTGCAACAGCACAGAGCTTAACATGGGCTAATTTACTCAGCTTCTTTTGCCAGGTTAAATTGTTGCATTTAGTTCTGTGCTGCTACAGGTATGCAAACTACTTAATTCAAAATGACTGTGATTATCTCTAGATATATCTCGGGTATCTTCAAAACATGCTCCAGGTGAGTCTTACACTGCTGGCTAGTTTTACTAGGCCAGAGCAATTATTCGGGCTTTTTCATTCCCCCATAGGATATTTGTTGCAATACTAATTAAATTAAAACAACAGTAACACCATTTAAACTAATTTTAAAAGAATATTATGTTTTCCAGCTAAAGACAGCAAATGGCTTCTGGTAAGATTAGTCATCCCTCCAGAAAATTATTCAGTATTTAATTAAACACATGGGGATAAAGTCATTTTTGGAACAGACTCCATTAACTTCACAAGATTTTAGCCCAGTGATGAAGTTAGTTCTACTTAGGTAAAGGTATCATGAGGAAAGCCAAGAGTGTCCATAACACGACTATTAGATCTTTCCCTACAGTTGTTGAGTAACGTATATCAATATAGAGGATATAGAGAAATACTTGGCTGTGTAAAATTAATCTTTCAGTGTCCAAGGGGTATTGCCCATCTGTTTAATCTAACAATTAAACACCATGTTTCTTGTGACCATTCAGAAAAGGCAGACGCGACTTTAAATTTACCTAGGAGTTGGTGGGTTGAATTTTTCTTCCTTTTCTGTCTCCTTTGTTTGTACTAAAGGATTTTCAATGGTAACTGAAATAAAGCATTGTAATAATTTAACACTGCTTTTCAAAAGACTCTCACAATTATGTACAAAGCATGTATCTGGAAACTAGTTATTTGTTCCAGGGCATACTTCAAAAACACATAATAGTTACAAGTATTTTTATTTAATGCATTTAGGTTAAAATTAATATCTGTGCAGAGAGTGTGTGAGAAGGCAATATGCCAAATTCACTCATGATCCTGAAGTATTTAGTGGAAATAAAGAGATAAATAGCCCTTGGGCAGACTCTGCATAGAGGTGACTCACTTCAGTTCCCTTGCCCAAAGCCCAGCGATAATAATGGGCATCTGCCCATTGATTTCATGGGCCTACAGCTCAGAAACTAAATACATAAATCAGAGCTGTGATTTTTTTTTCCTTTGTAATTTTGCAATCACTTATGTTAACTTATTCTTAAAGTTTTAATGGAAATAAAAGTGTCAATTAAAAACATTATTTTAATACAGTCAATTGGCATAATATGTAAGAATTGTGCACAATATGAAAATGTACTTCTATTAAGGATGGATAGATTCCAAGTGGCAATTTTTTTGTTTAGTCACAGGGTTTTTGTTGACAACTTTGCTAGATTTGAGTTTAAACTCTAAAATGTGTACTCCTCCTTCTCTTATACTTAACTGAACAATTTTTTTCCAATTAGGCTGCTTTCTAAGTCCCCAGAGGAAAATATAGTAAACCCACAAACACATAACTGATTTAGTAGAGGGGAAAAAAACTAGTCAAACAGAAATATGTTAAGAATAAACTCAAACTCACCACAATCACCAACTCTAAAGCTTTCTGAAAGTGATCTAATATATTCCTCTCTTCCCCAAGAATGTACATTTATAAAGTAAGTTGGTGAATCTCGAATGGTAAAACTGAAGGTGAACCTTTCAGAGCCAATATCTGTAAACAGAAACAGTGCTTTCAGAGTCAATTTGAATCAAAACATAATAACCACATCATGAGTCTAGTATTATGAGACTCGTCTAGGTTTTATCATAACATTAAATAAAAACAAGTTACTGTCCAGTAATCTGGTGAATACCACTAGAGGTCAGTAGGGTTTTTTTCACAATATTAAGATTTTCTGGAATTTATATGGCTATCAGCAGTGCTATTGTCCAAACAGCCACTCTGCAAGTCAACTATGTCTGGCAACTTTCAAATGTAGTCAACTTGTATGCAAATTTTCCTTCCTTTAAAAAACAAAAATGTAAGTAGTATGAATCTTGCCACCGAAATCAAAAACCACACCATTTGCTGCACCCATCAAGCTATAACTTTAATATGCCTATTACAATTATCATGACAAGATGTGAAGGATTTCCAGAAGTGTTTCTATTAGATACAGGCTGAAATTGGCACCATGTCCCCCAGGCCGGGTTGGGAAATCTGGATCTTGGGCACCCCTGCTTGGAGCTTTCCAGAACAAACTCTAATTGATGAAACTTGGCCAAACCAATGCTGGTCTTTCCCCCACTATAAAAATAAATTCTTGACTATTTATTAATAAAATATGAAGGCTGTTCATTTTTTAAATATTCCTGAACCCAATATAAAGACTAAATAAAGCTAAAAAGAGCATTACTTCTTCTGTCTGGAAAGCCTTTGGCATCTGTTTTCCCAATAATCACACCGATTATGCTCTAAAAAACAAAAAAAAAATATTATAGAATGCAAGTATTAAACACAGATGCACATGATAAATAAGATTTCATGGACTTGTCATACTCTGCTGATGATGATAAACATATTTTTGGCTGGGGACCATTTTAATATATTAATTCCAAACTGCCATATGAAGTAAGAATATAAACATTTCATGTAAGTATAGAAACTAACACAAAATAAGAATCCTACACGTCCTCCCTATGTAAAAAAACATAGAAGAAAAAAGTTACCCAGAACTTTCCATATTTTTGCTGTCCCATAGCCTCCTCCCCTCCCAGATCAGAAGTCTAGCAGAACAGTGAAGTGGTTCCCATACATGCACTGGTCCAAGATCTCCTTAAATTCACAAGGGTGAGTCCATGGCATTCAGTTTTACTATATTTTTAATAGTTATACTGCAACTGGCCCTGGACACAAAGCACCACCCAAACGTGCTGAACACTGAACAAATCAAGGGCAACAAGATAGTTCCTGCCCCAAACAGTTCATAAGTTAGTGTAAAAACAGAAGTTACATAGGCATACAGATAATGCAGAGTACAACGGAAGCACAGGCAGAAACAACAAGGAAACAACAAAAGAATTCACACAAACTATTTAACACAAGGTAAAAGGAGGCCGATTTATTGTGCATCTGCTGCTGTGAGATAACTGTCCTTGTGTGCATGGTCTTACCCTGTGGTAGATGCAAGAAGCTTAGCTCTTAATGGAGAGAAAAAGAACAGAAAATGTGCCACCTTTCACACCTGCATGGCATTTGCCCTCATTTTGAATGGCTGTTGCTTCAACCACACAGGAAACCTACAGCTTGCTTAACTGCCATTTGCACATGAAATTATTTCACAATTTAGTAGTCAACATAGACTGAATTCTGCACTAATTTACAAGCCTATGAAACTCACTGACTTCATCAGATGTATATGGAGGATAAGGAGGCTCTGAATTAGGCCCCTGCTCCTAGTTTACTTTTAATCACTAGGTGGAGCAAGGTAACTGTCCTATCTTAAAGTTATTTACATGAATTCATTAAAAGCATGTGTGTGCAGCAATGTAATTTCCTGGGTCTTCTAAATTTCCCTCTTTCATTTTCTCTCAATCCATGTAGAACTGTTTCGTTTATTTTTTTAAATCACATTAGACAGTAATTAAATTAGATTCAGCACATTCCATATGCCATGCTGGTAGTAGGAAATGCCATTTAATGTCTTCTTTAAAAAATAAGAATTTATGTCAGCCTTTTCTAGCAAAGTAAAAACCTATAACTGCCAAACAGAAATATGAATTTTGCTAAATAAAACGACATAAGCTTATTAATTTAACATGCTAAATACATAATGATTGATCTTTTTAAAATTACCCAGCCATCAGAAACTGAGTCAGCTTTAACCTGTAGTAATTAGAGGTTTCTCAGATGAAAACAGTTTTACTTTTAAATAGAATCTATGTTAAGTGAACCAGTGGATCATTTGTATTTGAGTGTGATTGTAACTTCAGTGAATTTTGCTGAGGGTAGATAAAATTCATGAAAACTTGAAAAATACCTGGAAAAATACTGGTTCACGTGTGCACACACACAAGCATACTTGGGGTGGGTGCACAACACTCCCTTCTGGTTCATCCCTTTTATAAATACCCTTCTTGTTACTTTAAATTGACAAAATTATAGACCTAAATTGTCCCCTCCTATCTAAAAAGGTGTGGTAACACAAAAGATGCGTGGAAAATCCATGTGTTTTCAATTCCATTTCCAAGGGATCCGAACTTTTGTGGAGCATATGGCCCTGTAACCATGCAAATACCCCGAGAACTCCAGAGAAATATGGTTACAACACCACAGCTGTCCATTTATCCATGCAGAAACGCTGCCTCTCTGTTTTGTTCTTTAGGCTCCTACTCTCAATAGCGGAGAAGAGTTAAGAGACAATCTATCACTGATGGCCTACTGGAAGCCATGTCATCTCTTAGGGGATTGCAAGAGATGGAGAGGGAACTATTGCAGCACAGGGAATAATATAGACCAGAATATTAAAATCTAACCTTGCAAAGCAAAAAATGAAAATTAAATGTGTGCACTGAAATTTCCTATTTTTTTATTATGTAGTCAATCAGGTAAAAGGAAAAAGAAATATGCTGGTGTATAGTAGAGGCTTACTACGTTTACAACTGTGAATAAGGTTACCCTGGGCCTCACTCAAAGAGGGAACAAACAATACAGATATGCAAACAAATTTAAACATATATGATATAAATGAACAGGTAGTACTAAACCTTGCTGTTCAGTAAGTTCACTTTTTTTTGCACCTCATTCTTCTTTTTTATTAGTATGGTGTTTTTAAGTTCTTTGAAGTGGGGTCCTATTATCTGATGGACAGGCCAGCACCCGATCCATTTTTGCCTTAAATTCTTAAGAAAGAATAATTCTACTAGGTATGTAGTCTTCAACTTTTCATTCAACTGCATTTCCCATTGAATTCAATTAGACTGGTTTTATTTTCTTTAAATAAAAAACAGCCATAGAGTTTGGCTGACTGGACTATTTGTGGGAGCAACAGTTGCAGGTCAGACCCTAGGTCCAAAGCTTGCGGACAGAAATTATTACACATTTCTGATGTAACATGATTATATTGTGCTGACTGTAATTTAGCATCCAGTTAAATCAATAACAATATATTCTCTGATATTTTCAGACAATGAACTGTCCAGTCAAAATCTATAGTTGTGGTACTCATACTCTCTGAACAGCAGCAGCATCAATTTTCATTTTCCTGGTGTGTACACAAAGAAGGTAAGGTTCTTTATGTCTAATAATTATATTAATGCTTCGAGTATCTAAATACACATCAATTGCATAATTCTTCAGTAATTCAATATCATTATATACAATTTCATTTGAGAACAAAAGTACTATGTTGCTGAGACCTACGGGACGAGCCAGATTTGGATGCAGATCTGAAAGGGCAACAAAGTTCTGTGCTGAAATGCAGTATGCCATTTATTTTTTACCTGTAAGTTGAGAAAACAAATGTAGATCAAATAATCAAAACAAATCACTTAAAACATTTCATACTGAGATTAACAGAAATTATTTTCTTGAAGAAAGATGCTTTCACGTAAAGAAATTACCAAACCAGTTTTGTTCCAATAGTCAAAAATTAAATCTTAAAAGCACATCAAGCCTTCTTAGCTATGCTGTTTTTGTTCTGTTTGTATGTATGGGAGGTATGAATGTCATTATTCTACCTACATTTCCAAGAAGTATGTTTGAGATTTATTTTAATACTGAATGACTGAGGCTCTGACTGTGCAAACACTTATATGTCTAACTTCGATCTGAGTAACTCCCACTGAACTCAACGAAACTGCTCATATACTTAAAGTTTCTTAGATGCAGAAAGTTTGTTGAGTTGCAGCCTTAATCTGAATCTCTGATTAAATAATACATCATTCAGAAGGAAAGATGAAGAAACCTGAAAGCCCTGTTCCTTAAGCGCATTCTCCACCAGCATGCAAAGAGATTTCCAGAACTCATTTCTCATCCCTATTTTGTTGTTTTTGTCATTTGCTAGGACTTAAATTGAATTAATTTCTAATTCAAAACTGCAAAGTTTGACTGTAGAGCAAGGGCCCACTCCTGTGAAACACTGAGCGTATACCAAGACTTCCATTCATGCCACATTTGGCTATAAATACTTTGTTGTCTTGCATTACGCTATTTTTTGTTACCAGGTTTCAGTGTTTCTATTCCAAAACTGCCCTGAGCATTATTGATACTTTCCAAATAGATATCAGGTTCCCTCTTTTGATATAAAAGATTCAGCAAGTTCTCCAATACATAAGATATCTTATTGAGTAATGCAACAGGCTAATGAGTACTATTTCACACATCTAGCAAACTTTCATTTACATAAACTGGGATTCCTTCAAGATGACTTCTCAAGGTCTTAGGCGAAGCGAAAGAGGCTATATAGCCCAGAAGGTCCCTTCCAGTCTTCTATTTCCGCATCCACATTATCAATGAAATACAGAAAAATATCTGAAAAGAAGAAAGAAAGAGCAAGCCTTGAAGAACACTTTAAATGAAAACCTCAACAAAAGACATGAGTGATTTACTGCTGACTGCGAGTCTTAATCCTGCCCCCAGGTAGGGTGGCCATCATAGAGGACACAACGGTTTTCTGGTCCTCTGTCCGCTCTTGATACGAAACCCGACAAACAGAGGACATAAAGGCGTTGGGTTTTGTATCAAGAGAGGACAACCCGCCTGTCCTTGACGATGGCCACCCAAACCCCAATACTATGAACTAGATAAATTCCTATTCGCTTCAATGGGAAGAGGACCATTCTCAAATATCCCCCCAAGGCATTTATCAACATCCTTTCCTCAAACACAGTTAAATAATTTACCACACTCTGAAGCCAAATGGGGTAAAAAAAAAACAAAAACAAAAAAAAAAACAAGATTTTGAACAACCCATGCATCCAAAAAAATTAATTAATTAAAGAGGCAATTAAAGATTCAGAAGGGGAAAATGCTACTTGCTCAGGCAGCTAAAATGCAGCATTCGGTGCTATGAACCATTCACCTTTTCTGTGGGAAATAAGAGGACCCAATCCTGAGGTGGTGAGTTGACTTCAGGAGCTGAGCGGGTGGGTGGTATAGCTCAAGACCTGCTCAGCACCACCCAGGATGAGGCTCTTTATGCCCCAGAAAAGATCAGCTAGGAGAGACATGGGTTTTTGGGGTATCCTAGCCTAGCGATTCTCAACCGGGGCTTTTCAAGGGTACCCCTTGACGTCAGCACTGGGAGAGCGCAAACATGACGCACACGATAAACCCAGGGATTTCCAATAGGAAAAACAGCATTAAAAACAGGGTGACCTGCTGTGGTCTTTCTTTGCAACACAAAACCCCGAAGAATTGCTGTTATTTTTCTGTAGCCCAAAAGAGTGAAAGCTGAGGGGATTTTCCAAGAGGCCCTCAAGTCTAAGAAGATGGAGATCCTATGTAGGGCAGCCATCGTGGAGGACAGTGCAGTTGCCCTGCATCCTTTATGGATACAAAACCCAGCGCCTTTACATCCTCTACTTTTCTCTTGAACAGAAAAATAGCAGACATAAAGGCGTTGGGTTTCATATCAAGAGAGGACAGAGGACAACTGGACAGAGGACCCTACAGGAGCGTGGCCATCAGAGAGGACACGATGGTTTTCTGCTCCTCTGTCCTCTCTTGATAAGAAACCCAACGCCTTTACGTCCTCTATTTTAGTAAAACAGCCATTTTTTTCCTGTTGGCATTTTTTTTTTCCTGCTGCCAAGACCGTAGCAAGTCAGCCTGTTTTTAATCGCTGTGGATTTCCTTGCGGAAATCCCTGGGTCGATCTCATGCGTCACGTTTGCGCGCCTCCCGGCGGGCGCTAACACTGCACAGCACCTTTGGAAAGAGAAAAACACAGTGCAGTTTCGTATCTGTAAAGGACCACCGGACCGTCCTCGACGACAGCCACCTCTCGTCCTACGCCATCGCCGCTCCGACCCGACGGCAGCGGGGAGGACGAGGACGAGGACATTTTCCCAGACGTTGGTGGCGTCACGCAGAGGTGTGGAGTATCAGTCCGCCTCACAAATGCGCCACCTTCGCACAGTGGCGTAAGACACCGGGAGGACCCCTACGGAACCCCACGGTGAAGCAGGCATCGGGGCTTACACAATCTGCGAGGCCAAGAGGGCCGCCAGGAGGGCAGGGCAGGGCCCTGTCGCCGCGCACTGGCGCTGAGGGCAGGAGGCCGGCGCGCAGGGCGCATGCGCGGCGTGCCCCTCTCCCGCGCTTCGCTGCGCGCGGGAACCGGCTCCTCCCTCCGCTTGCAGGACAAACGCCGGTAAAGCGTCACCGG